GGTTGGTTCCTCAGCAAACTGTTCTAGAAAACTATCTCTAACACATTCCATGAACTCATCCTCTAATTTACTCTTGCCAATTTGGTTTTCCCAGTCTATATGAAGATTAAAATTACCCACTATTATTGTATTACGCTTGTTAAATGCTCCTCTAATTTCTTGATTGATACTCTACCCAATACCATAACTGCTGTTTGGGGGTCTATAAACTACTCCCACAAGTGTGTTCTGCCCCTTGTTGTTTCTTAGCTCCACCCATACTGATACTACCTCCTGATTTTCTGACTTAAGATTCTTCTTCTCTCCTGTTCTTATCTCATCCTTTATTAACAGGGCTACCCCCCCCCACCGCCCTCGTTTTCCATATTGCCTATCTTTCCTATACGTAAGGTACCCTGGAATGTTTAGCACCCAACCTTGGTCTCCCTGTAACCACGACTCAGTAATGGCTACTAGATTGTACTCATTTATCTCTATTTGTGCCATTAATTCATCTATCTTGTTACGAATGCTTTGTGTATTCAGGTATAGTGCCTTTAATTTTAACTTTTTACTATTTCCCCTATTCATTAATGCCCTATTTTCTTTGTTAAACTCTTTGTCCCTACTTGATACACTCTGTTCTTCAGGTCGCTACTCTCCTCTGCAGCCTTGACTTTTCTTATTCGCCTTGCGAGTTTAAATTTAGCCGTAACCCTCCCTCCCCCACTTATTAGTTTAAAGCTCTATCTACCTCCCTAGTTATATGTTTTGCCGGACACTGGTCTCAGCCAGTGGAGCCCATCCTGATCGAAGAGCTCCATCTTTCCCAAATACTGGTGCCAGTGGCCCATAAAATGAAACTCCTGCCTCCGGCACCCCACTTTCAGACATGCGTTTAACCCTTTAATCTGCTTGTTCCTGTACCAATTTGCGCATGGCTCAGGTAGTAATCCTGAGATTATTACCTTAGAGGTTCTGCTTTTTAATTTCAAACCTAGCTCTTTAAACTCCCTCACCAGATCATCATTACTACTACTACCTATGTCATTGGTTCCTACATGGATCACAACAATTGGATCCTCCCCCTCCAAGTTCTTCTCCAACCAAGAGACGCCCTTAACCCTGGCACCAGGAAGGCAACGCAGCCTTTGGCAAAGCATCATCGTGCCTGTGCTGGCTCTGAAAGAGCTACCCAACTAATCCCAATTTGGAGAGGATACGTTTGCAGGGCTATGGGGAGAGAGCGGGAGAGTGGGATTGATTTGGATAGCTCTTTTTAAAGAGCCGGCACAGACACGATGCGCCAAATGGCCTCCTCTGTGCTGTATAATTCTATGATTCATGATAGTCCCAGTCCCCTGTTCTTTCCCCACAGCACTGCAAAAAAATTATTTTTCAAGTAAATATCCTTTTGAAAGTTACTATTGAATCTGTTTCCACCACCCTTTCAGGTAGTGCATTTCAGAGAGGAACAACTTGCTGCGTAAAAACATTTCTCCTCGTCTCCCATCTGGCTCTTTTGCCAATTATCTTGAATCTGTGTCCTCTGGTTACAACCCACATGCCATATATATTGATAATGAACTATAAGAAAACATGTTATAATTGGGCTGTACTGTATCCTGTTACACTTAACTAGTATTGAAGTTTGAATTCTACCAACAGTCCTTTTTTTAATTATAATCTACTTTTCTGAAACAATTGGAGTTTAACCTTGAACATGTTTTCCACACAAACGGACATGAAAGAAATGTACTGTCACTATAGGAAAAGCTGATATGTGCAGCCAGTCGTGCCCTCATTAAAAGTAACGTGACAATAACGTATTCCTCAAATGGCCTTCTGAAACTCATTAATTGCGAAATTTGGGTGTAAAATTTTAAGATATTCACAAAGTGTTGACAGCTTTAACTGTTTTGATTGGTTTTATCGTGAAATAAAGAAAGCCTAGATATATGATTGTTTTTATCAGCAATATATGTAGATATTTGGCAAATGCAAGAAGATTTGGAGAACATTATTTTTGGTGGAGTCATTCAGGTGTCTGACATGCAAAAACCCAGCATCATGTTTAAGAGTATCCAAACCAGTCTCAATAGGTCCAAACTAGCTGGTCTGTAATCAGCAGTGCCCTGGAGCACTGCGGAACTATGTGGCTCAGGAACTGGACTATCAAGACTGTCACAAAGGTTGACTCAATTCAGACATTCAATTGCCAAGCACATCACCAGTTCAGCCTCAAAAAGAACTCACTTATTTCCAATCTACGCTATTCACCAGAACAATATAATATATACAGTAACTGACAAATTCATCACAAATATATTGCACAAATGCAAAAAAATTAAAGGAAATGTGTCAGTGTTGATAGAAAGTTGGATAAGGACAGAAACAAAGAACAGGGGGCAAATAATGTTTTCAGAATGGAAGGATTTTGTAGTGGAGTTCCTCAGGAGTCAGTGTTAGGCCGAATACTCTTTCAATATATAAATGAATTGGACTCAGGTAGCAAAATACCAAAACTTGCAGGCAACCCAATTATATGGGAGGATTGCAAATTTCAGAGGGATATAGATAGGATTAACTGGGAGGAGGATTCCAAATTTCAGAGGGATATAGATAGGATTGGTCATCTGGATGACAGATGAAATTTCATGCACAAAAAATAAGCTGATACATTTTGGTAGGATGAATATTGAAAGGAATTATATTTTAAAACTTTAAAAAGAGTGAAAATGCTGAGAGACCTAGGGATTAACATACCCATAACTTTAAAAGCAGGTGGGCAAGTTGACATAGACATGTAAAACAAAACCTAATGGGATCCTAGATTTTATACATAGAAATGTAAAATATAAAAGCAAAGAGGTAATACTAAACGTGTAGAAATCATTGGTTATGCCACAATTAAAGTAATACAATTCTGAATTATTTGGTTTTGAAGTTCAATTCTGGGTCACCATTTCAAGAGAGATATGAAAGCCATGGAACGAGGTGATTTATTACAATGTACCAGGTATGAGACATTTTAATTATGAAGAGAAACCAGAAAAAATGGGGCTGTTTTCACTGAAACAAAGATTGAGAGGAGCCATGACGGAGATTTCAAACTTACCAGAGGTTTTAAAAAGGTAAATAAGCAAAAATGATTTGCACTTGTCGGTGAGTTGGTAACAGTAAAGAATAAGTTCAAGATCTCAACAAAAAACACTCAGAAGATTGGTTTGGATGAAGAAGACCTTTCAGCCCAACTGATCTCATCCCTCCTGAATTGCTACCCTATCGTCCTCCCCTTACAGCATCAAACTGTTTCTAAAACTAAGAAAAAAGTTAGGAGAGTTATTATTACAGAGGATTGCCAGCCTATCAAAGACCTTGGTTGAAGCAGAATCTATAATATCTTATGAAAGGGAATTAATCAACTATTTGACTAAAATGAATTAAAGGGAATGGGGAAAAGGCAGGAGAGAGGGATTGGATGGATTGCTCTTCAGGGAGCCATCATGGACACAGTAAGCCAAATCATTTTCTTCTGTGTTGGACATTCTATGTTTCCTGCTTTCATAAGATGAATAACAGAGGGCAAAAAGGTGTATTGTTGTACTGTGGATTACACAGTTCATCTTTTGAAGCAGTAATTATTCACACAGGGAGAAATGACATTGACCAAGAACCATGCCTGTAAAAACAACTTCCCTCTGAAACTTCCATCTGAGCACAGAAACTCATCTTCACAACCATGATGAATACTATTGTGTGGAATGCCAGAGTTGTAATTCCCTAACCCACGCAGAGATTTCAGAGCTCAGCAGAGCACATCATTTCCCTTTGTGTGGAATTCATACAGTATTGGCAGACAGCAGGAAAAGACTATAGTGGGAAATACAAACTATAAGTATTCCTTCTGGCCGTGATACTAGAAAATTAATGGGGTTGATAAAGCACTCGAATAGCTGGAAGCAGAGTTCCTGTGGGTCAGTGTAAATCACATGGGATAACTGGCATGTGAAGCATTGTCTAAAGGTGTTTTTCGACACTTGCATGGGTTTCCCTCCATCATAAGGCCCATGTTCAATTTGCATGATTCGATGACCCAGAAATCCACAGTTTTCAACGCTGGAGCAATCCAGTGCACAGGAAGTGAGTCGCACGCGTACACAGTGACTATGGGAGCACAGAATGTCTTTCCAGCCCAGTTATAATGCAGGTTGGAGTTTTATGGACCTCCCACTTTATAATGGATCTGTACAGCATAACAATGGTTGGATTACATTCTAAGCGCATTGACACTCCATTAAAATCACAATCCTGGATATTTCATGCACACAATTACATCGAATTATATAGAATCTACAGCACCAAAACAGATCATTCGGCCCAACTTGCCTGTGCCAGTATTTATACTCCACATACATCTCCACCCATCCTAGTTCCCTTTTCCTCCTCATCTGCCTCTTCCCAAATCTGTCTATACTCTACTCCCTCATGTATTAAATAAATAACCTAAATACAGTAGATAGACTAAATAGAACTCCCAATATAGCAGCCCCACTTAACTTCTGCAGCAGAGCCTGACTTTTTCATAGCAATGACCTCAACTTACTTCACCAGATGGATCCCAGATCAAATCCAATTTCAGAGTTTGTAGATTGAGTATCCCAAGGGGACTGAGAGCCAATCTAATTTAGTCTGGATTGATTTAGCTATGACAAGCTCAGGAACAGCCCTCTATTTTCTCTGTTCTGTTCAAACATCACCTTGATTAGCAGATATTTTCTCTCTTTCAAAAGTGGATTGAATTACTGTGGCAGATTTACTGCTTTGTCCAATTCTTTGTTTTTTGTCTGGTGATACACCTTTCAACTTTTATGTTACGCTGCTGAGGAAATGCTTTAATTAAAAAGTAGGAGGAAGAGAGGGGAGAATATAAAAAAAGTTAGTGAGCCACCCAAACCATGATTTCTGAATCTGTAACCCAAACTGAAGAATAAATGCAATGAATTAAAAAGCTCACTTACCTTCAGAATGACACAGTGCTCTCCTTTGGCATACATTATTATTCCATTACTCTGCAATGTTCTCAAATGCAGCCCCAGCTTCAGTTCATCTCTTTTACTGCTTTCTGCCACTCGGTACTTAATATAACTGTTGCCAGCAAAGCTCAGTGAAGCATGACCTGGACACATTAAGGAAAACCACTTTGAAATACTAACATTGTGCTAACAGTATGTTTTCTAACCGTACTATCAATTAGAAAATCATGTGCTTTTTTTCAACCATTGTTAGTGAGTAGAACACATGTAACATATCAAGGTTGTAAATAACATTCAGTTTTATAGGTTTACTTGAAAATACCACTCCCACTACACCAAAACCATCAACAGCCAAAGAGTAATTCCTTATATTATAATGGTAGCCAAGCTTTTAGCCATTGAAAGCTTAGATTTCAATCTGCAAAATTCTGCTGAGGCAGTTTTCAACAGCAATGCCAAAACGCCCTTTTAAATCATAGTCTGAGAGCTACAGAAAACCCCACTTTCGTGGGTGAAATGAAATATAAACCACTTGGCAATTAAATGAGATAACATTTGAGTAAGAGAGGTTTTAAGAATTCTTCCTTTGTTTACTCCATTGTGAATAGTAGAAAGAAAGCCACCAACAAAGGTGAATATCTGGAAACAATTACAGTATTTCCAAAACATTTCTAACATTAATGGAACATCAAAGAAACAAAGTAACATAAATTACAATATGTGCAGTGCACAAAATATTTTCCTACTCATACTTTCCCCATTAACCTTTTTCCCCAGCGCATGCTCAATTTGTACGAATATTATTTTCCCCTTCAAAATATTACCAGCAACATTATATGGAAATTGTCTTGAATTTTTTATACGTTTCCAGTAACACACAAATCTGTGTCTGCATCTCTGCCATTTCCTATCATGTAATATTATGTAGCACACGACACAGTTTCATTAATTCCCACATTGCACCATCTCAGCAAACAACAAAGCCCCTGCATCTTGCGCTTAATGCAGTACGTCAAAAAAGGACACTGCTTCAGTTTCACAAAAATTCTAATATAAAAGTACAAAAAATTGACTATTGAAAATAGTAGTTGGTAGCAATCTGGCTTCTGAATCAGAAGAATGTGGGTTCAAGCCCCACATTGAGACTTGGAACTGATAAAGGCCAAGCAGATACTCCAAAGCAGCCTTGGGAGTGAGTGTACTATATTGTTAGAGGTGTCATCCTTCAATAAGACATTAACCTGAGGTCCCACCATTGGGTACGAGGCAGCACAAGAGCGAGGTAGCACCACTAACTACCCATTCCCCTCCTCCAGTTGCAAAACCTGGCTCCGTCACTGCTTTCACAACAGGAGCATGAGTTCAAGCAATTTACACAGCTCGCTGAGGACCCGAGTCAGAGGCGTGGTTGCTGAAGAGGGCAATGGGGTGGTTGATGAAAAGGGCAGTGGGTTAGTTGTTAAAGAGGGCAGTGGGTTATGATGAAGAGGGCAGTGGGTTATGATGAATAGGGCAGTGGGTTAGTTGTTGAAGAGGGCAGTGGGTTAGTTGTTGAAGAGGGCAGTGGGTTATGATGAAGAGGGCAGTGGGTTATAATAATAATAATAATCCTTGCATTTGATATAGCGCTTTTCACGTCTTCTAGACGTCCCAAAGCGCTTCACAGAATATACTGTAAAGTGAATTGATTGTGTATTTGTGGGCGAACGCGGCAGCCAATTGCACACAGCTGTGTCCCACAGTGATGGATTGAAAATGACCAATTTATTATTGTTTTGTTTTGGAGGGATTATTATCAGGCGTGTGGAGTAAGGAAACTTGCCCAAGGTTTCGCCCTGACCTGCCTGGAATTGAACTCAGGTCTCTCACTTGCAAGGCGAGTGCTCTAACCACTGAGCTACAGGACTCCAGGGTTATGATAAAGAGGGCAGTGGGTTATGACGAAGAGGGCAGTGGATTTTGATGAAGAGGGCAGTGGGTTATGATGAAGAGGGCAGTGGGTTATGATGAAGAGGGCAGTGGGTTATGATGAAGAAGGCAGTGGGTCAGTTGTTTAAGAGGCAGTGGGTTATGATGAAGAAGGCAGTGGGTTATGATGAAGAGGGCAGTGAGTTATGATGAAGAAGGCAGTGGGTTAGTTGTTGAAGAGGGTAGTGGGTTAGTTGTTGAAGAGGGCAGTGGGTTATGATGAAGAGGGCAGTGGGTTAGTTGATGAAGAGGGCAGTGGGGTAGTTGCTGAAGAGGGTAGTGGTGTGGTGTTGAAGAGGGTAGTGGAGCGGTGTTGAAGAAGGCTGTGGGATGGTTGCTGAAGAGGGCTCTGGGAAGATTACCAAAAGGACAGATAAAGAGAAGTTTTGAGGCATTTTTTCAAACTGAGGAGGGGTATGTTAGAAGGAGGAAGCACCTCTGATAATGAATAGCTTCCCCAGGACTGCAGTAGATCGTCAGGCAAGATTGTGAGCTCAAAGACCCAGAGATGAGAGTGCTACAAGATGAGCCAAAATGACACCCATTCAACAACCAGTTAAAATAACTACAGCTCATTTGGTTGTAAATTCCAGAATGAAAGACCCCTGTATGTGGTTGCATGTGCCTAACCCAACCCATCTGGCTGGTCTTTGCCTCCTTCAGTAACTGTCCAAATGTTACTACCCTAGCTACAGGGGTGTAATAATCCTCCAGATTATCCTCAAATTTCTAAAAGGTGCTCTCAGTTCAAGCCTTTACCCGGATAAATGTCATCTTACTTTTAACATGAAGTGGATAGATTGAAAAACCTATTGAAAAACATAGAAATGAGTGAAAATGGTGATTTAAGTGTTCCTAGTACTTAGATTAGGTGAATTGAACAGTATAAATCATGAAGTCATTGCTCCGAGCATTCTCTGTGACTACTTTACTGAAAGAAAACATAAGCCTTTCATCACCATGATTTAGATAGTTGTTCTACTTCACGGCACTTTCAATGTGTTCTCTTTAGAATTAGAAAGATATTGGGTGAAATAACGACCATTTGATGAAATGCATGCACTCTGGAAATGGTGTGTGTGCATTTTCCTTGCATGCCATATACTTTGATTGGTAATACTGTTCTCAATCAAATCAACATCAAACAAGCTTAACTGGTGGCTATCGCTCACTTAGACGTGAACGACAGAAAGATTCACTTAATCATCCTAAAATTCAATCTCTCCACTGCACACCCTCTATTCTAGTTACATGAAAGGAAGGAACCAAACAAGGCCTGGCAGTCAGGCAACTGCTTTACAAATTTGTTGACCTGAAATACATTTGTGACATGAGTGAACATGTTCTTCCTGGCTAAGAAATAGAGAAAGCTGCATTTATTCATGGTCTTCCTCACCTGAACATGCTCCCAGATTCCCTGGTGGGCACTGACAAATAAATGGTCCGTGGCCCACACCACCCCGAACACATTGCATGTCACTAGGGCACGGTTTATCTCGGCAGACATCGGAAATAACTGGGCACAGGTCACCTGTTGCAGAAGAGAAACAACACAGTTAAAAATGTCTGCTATTCAACTCAGTTTTAACCAAAACTTATTAGGTGAACTAAATGTTAATAAATGATCTTGCTTTTGATCTTTGATAGATCAGGATAAATCACCCCCATTGTCCTATGCACACCTCACCATTTTTATCCTGTTTTTCCTCCAGATTATCCTCAAATTTTCATCCAAAAGAAATAAAAAGGAATTTGCAGGGAGTATGGGAAAAAGGTAGACAAATGGAACTGAATGGATTGCTCGTTCAAAGAGTCAGCACAGACTCAATGGACTTCTATGTTGTAAATTTCTATGGTTCTAAGTAAGGAATGCTATATTTATTATTATTTTAAATGTTTACTGTTTCTGAAAAATTCATTGTTGATAGAAATGAAACTCTTATTATTTAAGGGTATGAAAGGATAAACTCTGAACGATAGGCCAAGATATCAAACTTTTGTGAAAAGCTTGACAGACACTAATACCACGTCAATCTAACCACGATTTCCATTCTGCTGAAATACATATTGAATAATCTACTGCAATACGATGAAATATTGTTGAAATAGATGAAACTTTTTGAAACTTACCAATTGTTGTTCCACAATGATAACACATTGGCTAAGTAATCTGACTCTCAATAACATGTTATACAACACAAGCATGTACACATTGGTAGTTTTCTCTCTTGAATCAAGAACATATAGAGTATTAGAATTTACAGCACCAGAGGTGGCCATTTTGATTATTGTTTCATACTCGGGCTGAAGTTTTTAAAATGACAAAGCACAGCTTTGGAAATTAAACTAACCCAAATTATTTCGCCTATCTTGCATGAAGAGTGCGAGTTATTGTTGCTGTTCAGTACAGGGAGCACAGTGTTGCCCAAATAAATAGAGGCAAATGATGTCTTGCCCATGGTACACTATATGTTTACAGTGCGATATGTGCCTTTCAGTCCTTGATTCAGCCCATTCAGGCATTAATTCAGATTTGCTTGAAATTTGCTTCATTTGACTACAGTCCCGTCTGGCACATTGTTTTCGAGCCAAAAAGTGCTGAACAGGTTACAATTTTACGTGCAAATTGAGCAAGCACTGATTTTCATTTATAGCTGTAACAGATTAATAAGCAGATGTTCCAGTAACATGAATGAGGAAACCCAACCAGTTTAATGTTCACCCTTTGAACATCAAATTGTAACACTAGGCGATAAACTATTCTTCAAAGAGAAACTACAGACACACGATGCCTAGTGCATTTTATGTTGAAAATTGTGGGGTTTATTTTGCAACAGTCTGGTGTCTGACACATAAGGAAAGAAAAAAAATCCAAGCTTATGGGTATTCAAACCAGACAGAGATGCACATCTTGGCCCTTTGTGTGGAATGGAGGTTTTACTCTCCCCGGAGGGACACACACCATAATCATTTAATCCTGGAAAGTATTAAGTGCAAGTTGGCAAAACAAAGACTTGGGGGGACCCCAGGTGTGTGTTGTAGCATTGCTGCAGTTAAACCAGCTAAAACCATGCAGCTTGCCATTACAAACACTGTCCAGCAAGCTTCCTGCTGCTTGTCTAATTACGATTTTAGGTTGAAAATTGATGGGTTCCTCTTTCTAAAAAGGCTAGTATTCAAAAGTACATTTATTGTCAAATTTGTGCACCTATCCTTTCCTTAATGTAGTTGTTCCTCTGGATAAATGCAGGAGGCCAGGCGCAGTATAGAAAGCATTATACTGTAAACTGTAATAATAATAATCCTTGCATTTGAAGGATTATTATTTCCAGAAAAGCGATCCGGCAATCGACTAACAACCGGGTTCCCACTCACTACTTGGTAAACAAAGGCGTGTGGAGTAAGGAAACTTGTCCAACATTTCGCCCTGCCCGGGAATCAAATCCTGGTGTCTCGCTTGCGAGGTGAGTGCTCTAACCACTGAGTTACAGGACTCCATTTCATGGGTAATGATACTATGGTAATCGTATCAAATGCGAGGAGGTCATGGACTTCTTTTCAACTAAAATAATGAACATCCGCCAGGCAGCCTCATTCACCTGCCCCTTGTCACCCACCTCTCTGTCCCACTCACCCTCCTCATCATCTGCTCCTACCACCACCCCCTTTCTACACTCTTTCCTCCCCATCTCTCCCTCTTCCCTCCCACCCACCATCACCTCCATGAAACCCACCCCCTGCTGCCTCAACCCCCTCCCCACCAACTTGCTGGTCACACAGTTCCCCCTCCTCTGCCCACTACTGGCTGACATTATCAACCAGTCCCTCTCCTCCGGATCAGTCCCTGCCTCCCTCAAAACTGCTGTCATCATCCCCCTCCTGAAAAAACCCTCCCAAGATCCCTCAAGCCCCAGCCATTACCGCCCTATTTCTAACCTGCCCTTCCTCTCAAAAATTCTAGAACGTGTTGTTGCAAACCAACTTCGTGCACACCTCTCCTCCCACTCCCTCTTCAAACCCCTCCAGTCCGGTTTCTGCCCTTCCCACAGTACAGCGACTGCGCTTGTGAAAGTCTTAAGTGACATCCTCTCTATCTGCTTCCTTGTCCTCCTGGACCTCTCTGCCGCGTTCGACACAGTCGATCACGCCATCCTCATCCAATGACTTTCCTCCGTCATCCACTTCAGTGGGACCGCACTTGCCTGGTTTGAGTCCTCACAAACTGCCAGCAGTACATCTGCACAAACGGCTTCTCCTCCTGCTCTCACCCTGTCACCTGCGGGGTATCCCAAGGATCCATCCTTGGCCCCCTCCTCTTTCTGATCTACATGCTCCCTCTTGGGGATGTCATCCGCAGACATGGGGTACACTTCCACATGTATGCAGATGACACCCAATTCTACTTTTCCATCTCTCTTTGCGATCCCCAGTCCCCTGATGTTCTGTCAGCCTGCCTGTCAGATCTCAGCTGGATGAGCGCAAACTTCCTCTCATCAACGTCTAAAATCTCACGGCTCTCACCTCCTCCACCTACCCAACTTCCCCCTAAACTCTCCAAACCCGTACGCAACCTAGGCGTCAGGTTCGACCCCCAATTACCCTTCCTCCCCACATCCAGTCCCTCACCATCACCGCTTTCTTCCACCTCCAACGCATCGCCTGTCTCCGCCAATACCTCTCCCCAAAAGCCACTGAAACTCTGGTCCATGCCTTTGTCACCTCTCGGCTGGACTATTCAAACGCCCTCCTCGCCGGTCTCCCATCCACTACCATCCATAAAATCCAACTCATTCAGAACTCTGCCGCCTGCATTCTCACCTGCACGAAACTCTGCTCCCCGATCACCCCAGTCCTTGCCAGACTGCACTGGCTCCCTATCCCAGAGAGGATCGATTTCAAGATCCTCACCCTCGTATTCAAGTCCCTGCATTCCTCTGCACCCCCCGACCTCTCTGACCTCCTCTCTCCTCAGCACAGTACCCTTTGCCTTTGTTCCTCTGGGTCTGGCCTCCTCCTTGTCTCCTGAGTCCTCCGCTCCACCCTCGGCAGCCGTGCCTTCAGCCACTATGCCCCAAGGCTCTGGAACTGCCTTCCTCGCTCCCTTCGTCTCGCTCCCTCCCTCCCTTCCCATTTTCAGGTCTCTGCTGAAGCCCTCTCTTTTCGAACGCGCCTTTGGTCACCTTCTTCCCCCCCCCCCCCCCCCCCCCCGGCCCAGTCCCGGGATCCTAAACTGTAAAGCGCTCTGAGACGCCGTCCGGCATGGAGGGCACTATATAAATCCAAATTGTTGTTGTTGTTGTACTAGCCAATGATGACATTTCTTTGTCACTATCAAAATGTCTCCGTTATTTAGATAAAATCCTCCTGCAAATTAATTTTATCCATTTTTCTTTATATGATTGACTGCCCTCTCTTACCTCTTCCCAAAACAGCCAATGTTACCTTCCACTTGTCTCTCTCTCAGTACACCTACCTTTGAATTTTCTCCCATTTCCACCTTACTTTCCATGACAATCTCAAACTTAGTTTGACCCAACCCCAAAAGTCTCGATCAGTTTTTTTTCTCCTGCTTCTCCCTCTGTATTAATATCACTTATTCGCCTCTCCTTTTCTTTCCATTCCCAATAATTTGCCCCAGATCCTGCCCTCACTACTTTTGTCTCTGTTTATCTCGCCACAGGATCTTCCCCTCCGCATCTTACTCATTCTAGCACCATCGTTGAGTAAAATGCTGCAGAACTGCTCTGAATGATTTTTGCATATACTAATTGAATGTACTATTGTATTGGGAGAATGTCATATTCTTGAGTGCTTTTTTTTTTCAGTAGCGCAACAAATGTCTACACACTTAAGCCCCGAAACTGCACCGCAAAAACAAGGATCTTTAGAGTAACATTGATAAACTATACAACTTGACATATGTATGTATCATTTTAACACGTTTTCAATCGTCAGTTTAACAATTATTAACGGTGAAGTTACTCACCATTACAGGAGCATCTGGTGCCTCTGTAATAACGGGGAGATACAAAGCTGATCCTGGCAGTGCTGTAGGTCATCATGGATTGTCCTTCTGCAGCAAACATTTGCTCACAGTACGGTTCCCGACACTCCAAGCCAGAACAGTTCTTGTCTGTAATAGTGGAAATCCACAGCCCATTTTCTAGGTTCTTTTTTGCACTGCTCAGTTTCTGGACCAAATACGCAGATTTGTAGAAGCCATTCCCATCCATCTGCACTGCCAACAGAACATCTAGCTGATGGGTGCCTGCCACTGGCTGAATACTAATTATGTGAAGATTGTCCTGCTTTTTGGCAACAATAATGTTCCGAAGGGTTCGCCGAAATCCATGCAGATGAAGCCCAATGAAATCCTCGGGTGAAACGTTCTCAAATTGCACAGTTATTGCGTTCCAGAGCATGTCTCGAGTCACCTGCTCAACGTGGACTATGACTTCTACAGGCACAGTGAAGCGTCCATCACTGACAGAAACATTCAGAATATACTTGCCCCTGTCCAGTCCTCCAAGAGCAATGATCTTCCCGTCTTGACTGTTTACATTGAACAAGCTCCTCTGATCTGTCTTCAGACTGTAGATAAGGATGTCATACACATCTTGATCAGTGGCATGAATCTTCCCAATTACACCTCCTGGGAACTCGTCCTCCATAGTGGAAATAAAGATCTCAAGTGGAATGGCAGTCGGCTTATGGATGCTTTCTTCAATCACACGAACAAGGATGTAGGTGTACGAAGCCAACTGCAGCTTGCCAGAATCATGAGCCTGTAGTATTGTGAATAAAAACAGCAAGCATTTCACGGGGGGAAACGCAGAGTAAAAAGTTAGTTGTAATATTATTTTGAGTTTTTGGTTCCAATAATTTATTAATGGGAGTCACATTTTCAAATGATTTTTTGTCAAATACGCCTTTCATAATCTCAATGATTCAAGGAGGGCCATTACTAACCAAATTCCTGCAATCTCTTTTCAATAAGAGTAAGAACTTACTTTTGTTTTACTGATTATTGAATCTACAGTATGGAGGATAGTGAATACTCCTTAAAAATGGGTAATCCAGTATATGTAGTGAACTGAAGCTTTTAAGTCATAAATTTTATTTAAAATACAGTGCAATTGAAGGATTTTTTTATGAACTTAGTGAAAACTGTATCTGAGGAATGAAGATTAAACAAATTGGAAGTCTTCAGCCAATGGTGAGATCATTCAATCAAGTTTGATCCTCCTATCTATCGATCAATCTCCATTAATCAATCTATCCTCATTAATATCTAGCCATCAATTAATTGATCAGTTTAACTGTATTATTGATTTCTGCAAACCCAGCAATCTCTCTCTATCTGCTCAATGACATTTATCTACCCACCAAGCAATCTCTATCAATAATAATTTCCACCAGATCTCCATCAATAGGTATTTATACTTAAATATCGACACTTGTTGATATCTATCTATTGATGCATAATGATATTCATCAATATCTGTTGATCCTCTCTCCATATCTTTTCTCGCTTTCTACTTATCCCAGTGTAATAATAATCCTTGCGTTTGATATAGCGCTTTTCACATCTTCTGGACATCACAAAACACTTCACAGAATTCACTGTTAAGTGAATTGACTGTATATATGTGGGCGAAATGCGGCAGCCAATTTCGCACAGCAGTGTCCCACAAACAGTCATGGATTGAAGTGACCAATTTATCATTGGGTTTTTTTTGGTTGAGGGATTATTATCAGGCATGTGGAGTAAGGAAACTTGCCCAAAGTTTTACCCTGCCGGGAATCGAACCAAGGTTTCTCGCTTGTGAGGTGAGTGCTCTGACCACTGAGCTACAGGACTCCATGGGACTAATGTAATGGTCATTGATAAGTTCCCCCAGCAGCAAAAATACTTGATTCCAATGAATCGTCCTCAGTAGTGACTCTCAGAGCTGATCAGAAAGTGACTCATGTCCGTAAAAAGAACATGGTGAAATTCATATCGTTTCTCATGATTCGGACAATATCTGACTGTGGTCAGATACAATATTTAACAATGGCCTCAATCTCCCAGCCCATAGACCCTAAATTCTAATTGTCTTTGCCTTAAAACCACTGTCCTAAAATGCAACATCCAGAATTTTTTAAAATTCTTAAATATTGTCTTCATTTAGAAGTCGTTTTTCTGCAGTTCTTCACAAAAAAGACTGGGGAAAAGCAGCTTCTATATTAAGACAGAATTTAATGACTTCTCTAAATTCTCTTATCAGTTTATATTTTAAGAGAATGATCTGAAGGCTCTGATCATGATAATGTGGGCTTCAGGAGAGGTAAGTAGGAGAAGTGGGTGACATCAATGGCAATCAAAGGAGCTGAGACACAGATTAGCCTTATGCAGCTTTTGGTACAGTTGTCAGTGTTTGATACACATGGTAGATGGACATGTGGGAATGTCTATGCTGCTGTGTAGTAAAAACATTTATTAGCTTGTTAAATCTCTGTCAGAATTTGTGAACTGGTGTTAATGCTGCACAGTCTTTATGGATTGGGCTGCAATTTTTAGTATACTGGCCTGTGGTTTTAGAGATTATAGATGTTCTGAATATTATTCTTGAAATAGTTTTATGATAATGTTCAACCATTACAATCATTCAAGATGAAGAATCCTAATCACAATGAAATTTACCTCCGTCTCAAAATAATACTGAAAAGTGCAGAGTGAGGGCACAATTCTGGGAAATTGGGGGATTATTTTCTAAATAGAGATACCATGGCAATATATTACAATACAAATATTACATGGCTTTGTAAAAATGCATTGCTATGTATATGTATGATACAATTTACATTTATATGATCCCTTTCATGTCGAGAGGACGTCTCAACGTGCTCAATACAGCTGGCTGGGCAACCAGGCTAATAATATTCATGATAATATTCATAGCTTGATTTTAATTGTGAGAGAGCAAAGCATATGATCATGCTAGATCAACAGAGCCTGGATTAAGAAACCTATAACAAAGCTTTTGTATATGTTCAAGGTGTTTATATTCCAGGAACAGAAATGAAAGTTATTCTAATGTACCATGATAAAATTTATTCTAATACCATGCACTAAACATATAGACTCCAAATACCATAAATTTAATAAAAACAAAAATCCCTTGTTTGTATTAACGGAGGTTCAGGATAGCAAAAAGATATTATTTCACTAACTAGAATTCCATTTGATTTCTCCCTGACAGATGAGGAGGTCAGACCACCAATTTACACATAGTGCATTGCAGACCTGAGTGTCTGCTATAAATATGAATACGAAAAACAATAATAAATGTATGATCAAGAAACTGTTTTTTTTTCAGCATTATACCTACAGCACATTTCTTGATAATTAGTTTCTCAAGACTTCTATGCCATTTTCCCAATATTAATCATAGCCATGAACTAGCAGGAGTAACAAAATCCAACATCTACACCATCTCTTACCTTCACACGCAGCAGATATTCTGTTGCAACCTTTTGTTTAAACACTATTGCAGATTTCAGAACTCCTTGTTGGTCTAAAACAAACTCCTTCCCATCATTTCCATCAAGGATAGTGAACGTGAATGGAGGCCCATTGTGGGAAGAATCCTTGTCTGTGACTGAAAGTTGCAGGATAGTAGTGCCGATGACTTTATTTTCCTGTAATCATGAGAAAGATCCATACCTTCAAAACAACTCAGGATCACTGGCCAGATTATTAGCTTGTTAAACCTCTGTCAGAATTTGTGAACTGATATCTTACCCTGGAAGACCATTTTGTCTTGAAACTAAAGATTATACAAAATTGGTCAAAATTCTTATCATCTTAATCTGGAAACCATTTTTTTCTGAGATTCTTAAAGAAAACCACCTAAAACATCAATGCTGAATTTAGGATTTTTCCTCAATTTGGCACAACCTTACAATTTATGACAAACAGACTTACAGGTAAACTTAAACAAATCAAGGTAGATTAAATGTTTGCTACCAGTGTGATATCTAAAGTAGAATCTTCAAACAATCTGTATTATAATTAGACTTGTCAGATTCCGATTACAATCCAGTGGGAGGGGGAAAGCTTCTGAATTGTCTAATTTTCTCCAAAAAAAGAAAATTTATTTCCATTGGTGTATTTTTGTTTACTTTTTTAAAAAATCATTGTAAACTATAGAAATAGCTGATTTCCAGCTCATACGATTATCACACACTTCACTTGTGTGCTGTGCACAACAATATAATTATCCTTCAATTTGGTACAAGCACATCACATTGGGAGAACGTGCTTCCCAGGGTATACTGTAAGGTATAGTGACTGTTTTGTAAGCGAATGCGCACAGTGACGTCCGTGCTGACTTTAAAACCCAAGAGGTTGGCCATTTAAAAACGAACTAACAAAATAAAGTTAAAATAAACTTAAATATTATAAAAATTAAAAAGAATACAAATCCTATTAGAATTAGTCAACCCTAATTTTCATCCATTATTGTAAGTTTCCAGAAGTGCTTCACTGGCACTGTGAGCTAACTTATTAGAGTACTGGATTCTCAACTGTTTGATGTATTGATGTAGATGTTTTCAGATGATGCATTTGGCAGCCTTGCCTTGTGTATCTGGGGAGGGAGGAAAAATGACCAGGATATTCAACCTTATTTCTTTAGTCAGGCAAGTGTCTGACACATGCAGAAACCCATCAGCGTTACTTTCTGGAAATCTACCTGAATGACGGTTGAATAATTTGCTGGTGTGAACTCAGGGGGATTGTCATTAATATCTGAGACATCAACATTCACAGTAACTGTAGATGACATGGAAGGTGTTCCACTATCTTTTGCTTGTACTGTTAGTGAATATCCAGATACCTGTTAGAAAGATGAATACACATTATGGAATTATTCACAAAACTTTACTTTTCTTGTTTCTCTTCAGAATTTTACATTGCTTTACATAAAGATAAACTTTAGTTACATTGTAACTGCGGGAGTCTGTAATGTTAAATTAATTCTTTAGCATAGTTATATATAAATTGAGTAATTTGACAAACATTAGAGCATTTTGATTTTATTGACACATTGGCCACTGGTAGAGGGGATCACTTTCTTTTGGTCATCCAAGTATCTGATGCATGTAGAAACCCATCAGTGCAACACCGTGATTACTAATTGTTTGTTATGAGTTACAAAGCCCTTCAGTTCATAGGAACGCAGACATTTACCTTGCAGAAGGAAGCCATTTGGCCCATCAACTCTGCACTGACTCTCAGAGCAAGCTGGTCTTTCAATTACATTGCCCTTCCCTATCTCCATTCTCCTTGAAGCCTCTAACTTACAGACACCGTCTTCTTTCCTCTTGAAAACTCACAGTAGATTTAGTCTCTACCACCTTATTTGGCAAGGAATTCCACATTCCAATAACTCTCTGTATGAAAAGCAATTCTGCTAGTTTTAGGAATTGCTATTTTTAAACCTCCATGCTATGAATAAAATATTTTACTCCCCTCCATGAATGTTTGCTAACTTACACATACTACTTAAAGAAAAAAGTATTCTTAAAGCAGTCCTATTCAGTGATCAACAACTTTGACATTCCAAGCAAGGTGATCTCCTAATGGGGAAATGTACTGGCCTTGGCAATGTGCCTTATAACAGGGAAAACCACATTATAAATGCATGCCACCAAGTTAAGTAATTTCCAAAAAGTAGAAAATAATCTCCTGGGCGTAACGCAGCACAATTTGTGCAGAAATAACACCTAAAGCTGTGTGTCCAGATGTTGAAAGGCAATGAAATAACACAAAGCAATTTAGATGCCGTTGCTCTGCAGCTGTAATATAATGACTCATAAAATTCAAAAGTAAACAAGAATAATTCACACAAACAATATAGGGCATGAGAAAAAAGTGGGAGATCAGTTCATAGATTCTACCGAATGCTTCTGCATCTGCTCCTATAACTGAAAAGCCATTTTTATTTGTCTTGTGCTACTAGAAACCGAGAGATTTATCTGGTTTCACAACTTGACAGATCTTGATGTACTTTTGTCTGCATTGTGATGCCATTTTTTTATTAGTCAACTGCACTTGCATTGTTTGCAAGAATATATATTTCAGGAGGCTGAAAAACCAAACTCGGTCCTTTGTTTACAACAATTCCTTCCATGAAAGTCAAAACAGATTACAGCACTACAAATCAAATAGACAAAATGCACTAAACGGAACAGCATTTTACAACTGTGGATAGCGATCAGCAATGAGAACTGCCTGATATTTCCCTCTCTGTAACAAAGCAATATTAAGTCCTAATTGTAACAACCTGGTATCTCAGCACAGAATGATCCTCTCTGTGTGTCACACTATCACACCACAAGATACACTTACATACTGAGAAGGGTTGGGGGTGAAGAGGGAAAAAAAACGGATTTATATTATTTTACCTGTTCTCTATCAAGCTGCTTGTTGACCTTTATTAAGCCTGTCACTGGATTTATATTGAAAGAGTTGTCCTGATCTCCATTCACAATTGAAAAGTGAATTTGTGCATTGGGGAGACTGTCCCAATCTTCTGCCAGTACCTGTGGAAGCATATTGTTAGTTAATAACTCATTATCTAAATGAAGATCAGCACTTTCATTATGGTGAAATTACGAAATAAATGGCATCAAAACAAACACTTTGAAGACTGAACACGACATTATAGATGAATCGGTATACTTCCATCAATGGACAATGATGGAACCAAAGTAACATTGATGAACACTACTTCTGTGATAATGGGGGAGGCACAGGGCAGGGGATTCATAACTTTGCAGACACATCAATGTGATTTGACAATACCTGTACTTACTGTGTATTCCTTTTCTACTGTGACATTTGTTATATACTTTGACAGACGAGAACTGTTATCTGCATTTACAGAAAGTAAAACGAATACAGTTGAAAGGAAACACTTTGGTTCAAAACACTTGCCACTGATATTCTGCATAGAAATACATTTTTAGAAATGTAGTTTCCTGTAACAAGAAATCCTCCTTTTGATTCAGCATCTGAAGCCTGCCTCTTCCTACACTTGGCATACGTATGTGTTTAATTTTTTTCATTGGAGAAAAAGTTAGAAACAGGAGCCATACTCCTATACTCAGATAATTCTCAGATAAAATTTGATCATAAATATATCCAACGTATGCACACATTTCATGATCAAAAAGTAAATTACATTTGAAAAATTAATATCCTTCTATTAAATCACAAAATGTTTCTGATAAATCAAAGGATACATTTCTCCCAATTTAAATTAAGCATGGAAAAATAATGAAGATATATTTTCATTTGGTCTGATGAATTTACATACTCAAAGTAAGCGATGTTACTTATGGGGGAATGGAAGTCTTCACTTTTATCATCCAATCAGTATGGAGATAGAAACGATAGATTCAAGGTACTCTGTTCAATGTATTTGCTCTAATCTCAAACCTAGAAGGGAACAATGTTTTTCTGCATTATCAATCCTAAATGTGAGCTTTTTGAATGAGACTGAAACTCATACAAATGGTGAACTGGTTCAAGATTGCCCAAATTCACTTAAATTAAGTCTTCCGAATAACAGAGCAGAAGAGAGATTTGACAGTGGTGAGAGGTAATGTGGTAACCCAATGCAGATTCAGAAATTCCCCCAAATAATACCTCAATTATAACAAAACAATCCTTACATTGGGCTTCACAGGTTATACTGTAAAATGTAATGACTACGTATTTTGTAGATGAAACACAACAGACAATTTAAACACAGCAATGTACCACAGTTAAGAAGTTATCCATTTTATTTGAGGAATTGTTATTTTATGGGGGGAGGGGGGTGGTGGTTATCTTTAAGCTTTAAGCAAAGTTGTGCAAATAAAGCTAAATTTCAACAATCAAACTTCACTGAAATTTCAATAGTGTCTAGTGTCACCCAATGCTGAACACAAATTCCCAAAGCAATATACGATACTCTTCATATTGCAGACATCACCTAAATGTGTTTGGTTAATGTACAGCAAAAAAACTTTGCAAAAGAGTTTATTTTGCTCAACGCAACTAATTTTCTGACTTGGTATTAGTGTTCTTCTGCTCCTAAGATAGACCTTTATTAACTAAAAGTATATGTTTACAATTATATCAGAGATCTTTATAAGCCCACATGGATACATTTACAGAAGCTATTGCTAAAGCTGCAGTGCAGAATAGTGCCTAGCCATCATCAATAAAAGGTGTTACATTAAGCACCCAAAGCAAAGTAAAGTGGATTAATGATTCCTATTTCTTTAGCATCAATGCATTTAAGGGGATGCATAAAAGAGAGAAAAGGGAATAGATGAATATGGATGTAGCTAGGGTGAAACATTAAAATGGTAGGAGGCTCATGTAAAGTATAAATACTACATAAACGAGTTGGGCTGAATGGCTCCCGCCCACTCCACATCCCTTGCCCGGTTCAGCCCACCATCGGCGGTCAGGCCTTCAGTCTCTCTGCCCCTCACCCTTTGGAACTCCATCCCACATTCCCTTGACCTTGCTTTGCCTCCTTCGAGGCATGTTTCAAGACTCTCCTCTTCGAATGCACCTTTAGCCACCCTCCTACCTCTACCCTCCTTGCCCTCCGCCTCTTCTGATCCCAACCACCTGCTCAGCCCAAATCCCCGACTGTCCAGCACCTTGGAACGTCCTCCCGATGTGACAGGTGCTGTACAAATGTAATTTGTTGTTGTTGTTTCAGTGCTGTAGATTCTATTTATGTATGCCCACATACATATATCTCAGCTTACGGAGACACACAAGGAATATTATCATCCTTATAATATCAAAAGCTCATTTGTAATCTTTTCAATAGCCAAACAACTATATATAATCCAGTGCCAATTCAATATGTACATCAACGAATACTATATGTGGCCTGGAATAATAATCAATTCTGGTATTACAAGTGCATGTTTGATGATATAACGGAGTCTAATTTGCATTTCTTAACATATTTCTTAATAAAAATACATAATAATCAAAATTCTGAAACATTGCATTGCATACGAAGAAATAATTCAAAACACTTTAGAAAATGAGTGATGCATTCAATGGTTTAGAACTTTGATAATTACACTTTTCTTGTTAAAAAATCTGTTAAGAAATACTGCAAATTGCAACCCATTGCAACCTGATATAGGAAGGAGAAAGTGCAAGTACATTTCCATGTCATGAATTGGTATTCAGAAGGAAAGCAATCTGTGCCATTCAAATACAAAGGGGTCCAAAATGTACCACAATTACAGATCTAAATGATCAATTACAATTGGAATATCACATTGGAGTTGTGTTCCCATATGCTGATATATATTTACTCACGACTTTGTGTCTCATGGACCCAGAATTTGACTCTGTCCCTGTTCCATTAAATTTTCCTAATCATGCTTTATGTTGCTGCTTCTAATCCAATTTGCTTGTCTTTGACATTTTTTTCAATTTCAATTTGGTTACCTAGTGCATGTTTAAATTCTCTGCCTTGATTTACTTAACAGTGATGTTCAATTGTGCTTCTGAAGCAATATCAATCAAGGATAGCGCCATAATCGAAACCCAAATTTCAGGGGAAGTGGAGCAAGCACTTCAAAAGAGAGCAGCTGAATATACCCTTCCATGAGCTTCACATTCCTCTTCATAGCATTATAGCCAGCACTATACTGTCAGCAGTAATAGTGAGTATATCAAATACTTTTTGAAACCACATTTTCAAAATTGCTGTAGAATCAGTGCCTTAGCAATTGTTATGGAAAACATTCCCTGAATGTCTTCTTTCACCCGCATATAGTTGTGTTTAGTAAAGTATATAGTCCTGTGTCACATATTGGGAGTTAAAAGAAAATGCCTCTTTATAAAAGTGTAGTGTAATTTGGTGTTTTGGGGTCATATGAAGGACCTTGGGTTGTAAAGTGTACCTCCTGCGAAGAACCTCAAGTGTGCTATGATGACCCACGTGCATTCGCCAAAAAGCTATTGGTGTTGATTTCTTGCAGGTCAGCATTGCATATGGAGTTCCCTTCAGGAAACATAATTTATATCTGGAGGCTATCCAGATCACTTTCAAAGATGTGCTTTGGGTAAACATCTGATGTGTTATTGCTTAATTGTAACAAGAGGATATTATACAAAAGAGTATAACAATCAATATTAATAAAAGGTTGACAGTGCTTCAAACCTGTACTTATTGGAAATGTTACGCAAAGCGCAGCAAGAGAATAAAAACCATACTCAGGCTCATCATGATCGATTGTATTATGATAGATTTTATCACATGAATATGAAAAAATATGTGGAAGGAGCTATATAAAAGTGGATTGTTGTTACTTTCTACCAGAATATGTGCATTCTAGAAATTAACATAATTTTAAGGATATTTTGTATCTTGTTCTCAGCAATAAGTCTGAATCTAGCATTTTTCATTTTCCCCTTGTTATGAATAGCAGGTTTGTACCAATTTACCATCACCTTACAACTTTATGCGATATGTTATACTAACCCTTACTTTTGAAATTATAAGCCAATGTTGCAGAACTATGAAGCTCAACAGTATCATGTTAATGTACAGCTGAATAACTGCGTAAAGAAAACATCAGTAAAAGACATACCATGACAACAAGATCTCCAATAGTTGCATCTTCACTGATAACTGCACTGTACATCTCGCGGCTGAATTTTGGTGCATTGTCATTGACATCTGTTACATTGACATTTACAGTGGTGATAGCACTCAGTGAGGGTGAGCCTCCATCTCTAGCTTCAACTGTAAGGTAGTAGTCCTTACAGGTCTCGTAGTCAAGATGCTGAATTACAGAAATAACTCCTGTGGTTAAAAAAAAATCACATTAAAGTAAAGCACATCAACATCCTGCAAGTCTCAAGATCACAAGACTGGTTCAGATGAAGAAGGCCCTTTGGCCCATCTTATCCTTTCAGAAAAGCCACCCTACTGCCCCCCCATCACCGCATCAAACTGTTACTTAAATGAATCAAGAATTACAGACTTCAAGCAGCAAAGTTGCACTATATCTAGGAAAGCTAGCACAGTAAATATTGGGAAAACCTATGAACTCTCATTCATTCCTTTTCCTTCATACATATACTAGTAGTTTTATTGTGGTTTGGACGAGAAGCTGCAAGAAACTGGATTGGGACTGGCTAAATCAATTTCTCACATGATCCTTCATTAAGCACAGAGAACAATGTGACAGCCATGGTCATGATGTTCTTCTCTCTGCTTTACCCACATTGTTTTCAAAATAACCATACAATTGTTCATTTGAAAAGTTCAATAAGAATTTTATATCAGAAAGTTTTTCTTTCACCAGAGAATAATTAAAGGTTGAAACATTTTGCCAGCTGGGGTGGTTGAGGCTAGATCACCAGACTCATTTAAATAGCAGTTTAAATGCTGTGATGGGTGGGTGGGTGTTCTGAAGGGATGAGATTAGATGGTGATGGGCCTTCTTCATCCAAATCAATCTTGTGATCTTGTGAATAATAATGTAACCTAATGCCAATAACCTCAGAGTTTAAATAACAAATAATACTGAAGAAATATTGATATTTAAGCTCTGATTCTGATACATGGTTTTACTCAACAAACTCACAAATGATTGAAATACAGTTTAAGCAAAACATATGTACATGCCTTTGCTTTTAGACTTTTGTGAAGAGAATTTTCCAATTTCAAATTATAAACGTTTTTTTATTAAAAAAATGTACTATTCTTTTTACCTCTTCGGTGATCGATTCTGAATTTGCCGTGTTCATTACCAGATCTAATGTCGTAAGTAATTTCTGCATTCGCACCAGTGTCTTTGCTGGCAGCAAATATAGCCAGGACTTCAGTTTCCAGAGTTACATCTTCAGCCATTGTAACCATGTAGTCCCGCCTCTCAAACACCGGGGGATTGTCATTGATATCCAGCACTGTGATGATGACTGTCGCCATCGCCGAGAGTTTCCAGGCCAATCCCTGATCTTTGGCTTTGACAGTGAGATTATACTGTGCTTGTTGCTCCCTGTCCAGTGCCTTTTCAAGTGTGATGATTCCAGACCATTCATCAATAGAGAAAAATCCATGCGCGTTATTGATCAGAGAGTATGCTACTTTTCGGTTTAGTCCTGTCAAAAACAGAAAGAACATTATTATCTACTAGATGACAATGCTTGAAATTTAATCCAAAGCAGGATATGTAAATGGCCCCATCAATACTAAGAGAACATTCGTATACAGTAAACACAGAACCTTAGTTTAGATTATTCATTGTAACTGAAGCAGGCTATATCGTAATTATAAAGAAGCATTTTCACTATTTTCCTTATTCTTATAAATGTCCCTATTTTATTTAACAGCATTGCTATAAATATACAAATGTGGTAGTTATTTTGAAACAGCTTCAGTGATGAAAATATTTTCTTGATTGTGCCAAATTGCTGAACTACATATACTTTATTGAATACAGAGGACTTATATTTCTGTTTATATAACTAATAAGTAATGTTTTTAGCAGGTACCATATGATTTGACATATCACTTTTCATGTCAGGAAGGATGTCTCAATGCGTTTCACAGGATATACTTTAGTAATGTCCCACAAACAGCCATGAAGGGAATAAACAATTTTATTTGCGGGGATTGTTGACCAGGACATTGGGAGAATTTTCCTTCTCTTTTCAAATAGTATCATGGTTTAACATCCACCTGAACAGGCAAATGGGCCTTTGGCTTATCGTCTCATCAAAAGGATGTTACCTACAACAATGCAGAACATCCCCAGCAATGCACTGGGATGTCAGCCTAGACTATGAGTTCAAAGTCTTGACTTCCATGGGTATTAATGGGAGATTGTATAACTGGGAACAAGAAAGCTGTTACAATTTCTTGTGCTTACATACACATAGGATAACATCTTGATATTGCTTTTCTGCAATCTTACAGCAACATTTTTGCATTTTATATGAGGCTTTATGTCAAAACATCTCAAAAAGGAAAGTTATTTTAAGTGCAGTGATTTTTGTTATACACAGCATAGACAAAAGTGGTAGCCAATCTGTAGGGCAATGAAATTAGTGAATTAGGATAAAACAAGTATCTTTCAAAACCACAAGGCAACTCTCTCAGCCTCTAAAAACCTACTAAAAGCAGCTTTTTGACACTGCCTTTGATGAGCATCCTTAAATATTTTATTTCCCTGTTCAGAAATGGAGATTAAAGAGATGTAATCTACACATCTGCGTATAGATATCCAATATCAGACTTGTCAAGTGCTTCGAGACATTCTTTCATGTGAAAGGCACTATATAAACGCAAGTTGCTGCTTTTTAGTTCAGCTTTAACTCTCAGTTACACTGACACTGTATATTGCTGGTGCTTGGGGCCAGCCAAACTTTAAAACTGAGGCTCACACTTTCACAAGATTTCACAACCGGAAATTACTTTTATTTCTCATTGCAATTGTATTACATTTCTTAAATTCAGACTTAAGTTGCAAGCTGGTTCGCAAACCAACGTCTAGATTGGATTTAAAATTAAGAACGTTACAAATTTCTGCATATTGTTAAAACTTTGGATAATGGGCTTTACAATACAATATTACATTTGTAAAGCACCCTTCATGTTGGGAGGACGTCCCAAGGCGCCGGACAGTCAGGGACTTGGAGCCGAGTGGGGGGGGACCAGGAGGAGTGGGAGGCAGTAAGGCAGGAGGGTGGCCGAAGGCATGGCTGAAGAGGAGGGTCTTGAGGTGTGCCTTGAAGGAAGCAAGGGAGGGAGCGAAGTGAAGGGAATGTAGGATGGAGTTCCAGATGGGGCAGAGAAGCTGAAGGCCCGACCGCTGATGGTGTGGCGGTCCGGGTGGGGTACATGGAGCAGGCCAGAGCCTGCTGAGTGGAGGGAGTGGACAGGTTGATAAGGGGTTAGCGGGTAAGAAAGGTAGGAGGGGGCAAAGCCATGGAAGGCCTTGACGAGATTTTTGAACTCGATCCTCTGAAGGATGGGGAGCCAGTGGAGCTGGGCCAGGGCAGGGGTGATGGGGTCACAGAGCCTGGTGCGGGAGAGGACACAAGCTGCAGAGTTCTGGATGATCTGCAGCTTATGGAGGGAAGAGTTGGGAAGGCCGACAAGCAGGTTGTTGGCATAGTCGAGTTTTTAGGCTAGGTCCAGAGGAAATTAAGGTCGCTAGTTTCTCAAACAGACAATACAGAGACAGAAACATATAACTAACAATCCGAAACATAATTCACACAATTGTTTGCTCCATATTTTAGAAGGTTAAGAATTATTTTGGCCACACAAAATATGCAGTCAATTCACTTTACAGCATATTCTGTGAAGCAATTTGAGAGACTCGAAGATGTGATAAGGCGCTATATTAAATGCAAGGCTTATTAATATTCTCAATTGCTACAGCAAACTGCTATGTGCTTTGACCCAATAAGGCTGAACTGGTGTTTTTCTCCTAGTCTAACCTTAATCGAATTCTCTGTTCCCTCCCCCCTTCTCTTCAATGTTCTTCTTTTCCAAGCATTGAATTCACTTTTAAAAGAATTCACAGATTTTGCCTAAACAATGGTTTGTGGCAAGGAATTCCACATTCCAACCAACCATCTGCATACATGGAAGAAAGAGTTTGCTAACATCTGTTATGGCATTATGTTATTGCTGAATTATAATACACAGATGGTGTTTTTTTTAATGCCGCTGGGTACCGGCAGAGGTCTAATGATCACTCTTTCAATTTGAAAAATTACATGATGCTCCAATGACATTTCCTTAAATTCGATGACACATGGTCATCAGGCAAATGATAATACCTATTTACGTGTTCTTTAATACAGACTAAATTTATATTTTAATGAGATAGAAGTTACATTCCTCCCGTGATCTCTACAGTGATTATACGGGCAAAGGTTGTATTTTAAACTCATTTTCTGGTGTTGCATCAGGAATGCTGGCTCAAATAGAAACAGAGACATAAATTGTCTCACTATCACAAGGGAAAAGTTGGTTTTGTGCCAATGGGTAGCTTTTCAATGTGCAAAGAACTCAGCTTCTTATGTTACCACCAATAGATGGATATACAATGAGATTTCCAGTAACACTAAGTTGAATTGTGAATCAAATCGTTGTCTAACCTTTCACCCTTTAGGATTATCTTTTGAATTTATTAACTAAATTGCTGTACAAATATTGAATTTGCTTGAAAATTAACAACATCAAGAAACATTTACAGAATTATTGAAAGTTGCTGTTATAATTGCATACATGAGCGAGAGGGAATCGAGGGGTGTGAGAGGATGGGGGGGTTGGAGGCTTGTATGGAGTATAAATACCAGCATCTTGAAGGAGACACTTGAATTGGCATTTGGGGTTGCATGATTTCAGTGAAAAAGTAAATAGTTGAGTGCCTTCCCTGCAGTATTATGATTTAATATCCTCTATATCCTCTAAATCAAAACAAACTCTTAATGCGAATAACTGTATTGCGATTCAACCCACTCCAATCTGCTGATGGAGTATACCTCCACATTTTCACAATTATATGAAGTGTAACTTTGATTATCCATCAATTCCATTTGTCATCTGGACTTGGCGGATAATCAAGATCAGAACCACAACTAAGGCATTTGTTAGCATCTGCTGTTAGTTGGATTGCTAAAAAGAAATCCAAAACGTTACAATTGCACGCTTCGTAAATTAGATTCTTCTCCCAAGATTTTATTTCAAAGATACACTACATACTTGTCAAGGGGTTCTTATTGTCTTTATTGAAGATTAAAAACCCAACTAAAATCAAGTGATTTTCCTCTCACTAGTCAATTGCTCAAACTAGCCCTCTCACCATCTCAAAGTGCAGGTTTCAATGCAGGATAGTCTGTTCAAATTATGAGCGCATCTTCCTAGCAAAACAGTTAGTTCTAACAGTTGACCAACTTTTGGCAGTAGGTCTCCAGAGCAGAACAAGGTCAGAGTCCTGCTAATGCAGCAAACATAAGGCAAGGACATATGCGACTGTACACCTGATACCACCTCCCAAAACAATTTGTGCTTTCAGATTTTACTTTGCAATGAACCATCAAAAGCAATAGTCACAGGGTTCTCCAAAGTAACTGTAAATGGGCCTCCAGCAAACAGACCAATCATGTCAATAAGAATGATACATTTCAAACCACTGATTTATTACTGTTATTAAAATTAGACATTTGTGGGAAGTTTTTATATCCTAGCTGACCAGTGACATTTGGCTACAATGAGCGTAATGATTTGTGGGAAACCTGTATACGAGGTGGAAGGAGGTTAAGTGAAAGTTACCTGCGATATTACCGTGCACTATTAGTGCGGCTCGCTTGGAAAATTTCAAATTTTAATATTGTTACGTGGACAGGATTTTGTTGGCATCTAATATACGGCAATTTACAACAAGATTCCTTACTAGGGAAAGCGTATGTTACACTTACTACCAGTCAGGAATTCAGTGCAATATCATCCTGCTTTCAGCATAGAATTCCCACTGATGGGTGACATTCTTCCAGCTGTCTGGAAGGAGCTCCAATCATTAATTAAGAAAACCTGTTAGAAATCACTGCATGTTCCACTTCATTGACAGTATTTCACTGTAAACAGGCTGTAAAACAAACATTTTTTTCCCCACAACTATATTTGATATAATCAACCTGGAAAGTCTGCCAGAATAAATCATTTTCAATACAGATCTATGAACGTATTACGAAACAATGTGACAATTTCTACTCAGAGAGTAAATTAGAACTCAATCCTATTTTGGGAGCAGCAGAGTGAGTTTTGCGTTTGGACTGATGTGTCTTATATCATAAATGTAAAAGGCCTCTCTTCAGATGAAAGTCCGTGGATACAAAACATCAGTCAGGCATAGGACATTGAGTTCATGCAAATTTTATTTCATTGCTCTCTCATATAATAGCTTGCACTGTCACTATTTGATAACTGAAGCAGTGTTATCCCAAACAGCTATTTGTGATTCAGTATTAAAGAAGGGACAGGGATGGTTTTGCAATGCTGTGTTCAGTAAACCTATCTGGTCACCAAATACAATGCATATCTTTTCCCTCCTTATAAATTTATAATTTATCCTATGTAATTACAT